TATACAGATACATATTCTAGCTAGTATCCTTAAGAGAATAAGGTTCAACTCTTTTGATCTGTTGCGTTTTAACTATAGCCTCTACAGGTAATTGACAATTGCCCGTATTAATTTCGGCTGGATTCAAATATCAAACTCATCTGAAGTAAGTATTATTAGATATAAATTCAAGCATTTTATGACTAAATTATGCTGCGAGATCAGCATTTTTATTTAATTGTATGTGAATCTATTAGTTTCTGAATTAACACTAAATGCACTGAAAAATAGTATGGATTAATTTATTGTTTTCTTTTAATACACTTGTGGGAAGTATCAAAGATGATAAATAAGATATATGACATCCAGTTATCATGTTGCATAGTTATGACACTTATGCACGAAATCGATCTTCTTTATTATCTTTTCATGGACTTACAAAGACCACTTCATCTTTTTGCCCGTCTAGACGTAGCTGTACTATGTCTAATAGACATCAGTAGCATTTTTTTAAAAATTTGCTCGACGGGCTACACTTGCGAATATACAATAAGACAGGTGAAATATTTTTAGTTTCATTTGATTAGTTTCGCTCAAAGTGTTTGTCTTTGTTTACTGCAATAGCTAATTCGTAGCTTGACTTATACATATGTTTCAGGCTAGAAAAGCGAGTAGAATTATCCATGCTGCTTTGTCGTTACAAGCAGGCTCCGATTTAAGAGACGAGGTGAAGATTTTGAATTAGTTCTACAATAGTTACACCAGGTTACACCTAACAATTACAAATGTAATGGAAATGTTAATTCGATTTGTTAGCAGATGTTCCAGTTTTGTTTGCAAATATCGCAGACTCAGCAGCGAAAGAGCAGAGAAAATTCTTTGTGGTGGAATTACAAGTTCATTTGTCGAGTTAGCATAATTTTATTTTCGTTCACTCTTTATTCTTTTATGCAGTTTTTTAAAAATTGATTAATATACTTTTTACAGTGCGTGAGTCATGTGGTGTCTTATTTAGTAATTTCGATTCAATTCGTCGAAATGAAAAGAATTTGAATATCATGTGCCCAACATCGAAATGGATTTGATGAATAACAATGTAATTCTCTTTACCGTTTAATAATATCTTGACAAAATAAGTAATTAAAAATCTACTGAATTAAATCATCATTGATTAAAAATAAAAGCTTGTTGAAAATTTATTTGTTTGTATTTAATGTAAGAAAACAGTACCTTCCCTTCCCCGTAAAATAAGTCAAAATAAAGCAAAAATCAAGAATAAAAAATTGCGTACGAGCGTCTATTTTTTTGTTATAAGATATTAACAATTGGCCATGCCGGTGGGGGTACTTAGAGGCAACGTGCGTCTAAAAGTCTAAATACTAATATACTTCATTGCAGCTATCGTTACATTAGGCACGATGCGGACCACTGCCTGCGCGGTAACAGTCTTTTGGCCAGGAGTGGTCATCAAACTACAACGTTCACAATGCAAGGGTAACTGTTAGGAAGTATGTTATCATTTAGAATTTTAAGTGCACGTTGACTCTGAGAACCACAGGCTATAGGTAGGTTTGCCTAGTTTCAGGTGCATTTATCCTTAATCGTTAACAACTAAAAAATAGACCTTCGGATGAAATTTTTTATTATTGACTTTTTACTTATTTTGACTTATAGAATCATTCCTTAATATTTTTCCCACTACTAGCTGAACACCCTGTATACATACTTACCTATTAATTTCAGAAGTGTAGCAACTTACATATTATAATATATTATTAGCAAAATACATGTACTTCAATAGATTATAATTCATCCCGTGTAAGAACATATACTGAGCATAGTAAAGCAGTAATTCATATTAGTTCGTAATTCATACATGAGCTTGCTAC